GAATGGGCAACACAGTGTTGATAAGAAAGTTAAGCTTTATATGTCATGTTTTGTTGCTTGATATAAAGACAGGAAACTACTATGACATAATATTAACAGTTGTATTCTAGATGGTGAAAACTGGGATGTGATATTATTCTTTGGAAATGTCTATATCTTTCTATTTCCTCAAAAGAAAAGCAACGTGAATGTAGAAAGGTAAGAGAAGAACCAAAAGAGAGTGCTATGTTGTAGAAGCCAAGAGCACATAGTATGTATGTCCCAGAGGAAGGAGCGGTCGTGTTCATGGTTGCTGAGACTTCAAATAAAATGAAAACTTTAAAATGTCCACTGAATTGACTGTCACGGATGTCACTGAAGACTAACAAAAGCTTTGTCAGTGGAGTGCTGGGAACAGAAGCCAGACAAGAATGAGTAAGTGGGTGAGGAGGAAGTAGCAAGGTCATTGTCAACACTCTGGGGGGCTACTTGGCGGTGGAAGAGAAAGAGAGGGTAGCTTGAAAGGAACAGAGGATCCAAGAAGGGCTTGTTTCTAAGACACAAGAGACTAAAGCTTGTTTACATGCTGCTGGGGAGACGCAGGGGAGGTGGAGACAATAGGACAGAATTCCCAAGAATGTGTAAGTGAGAACAGGTGGAGGGATGGGCCTCCACAGGAGGAGGGACACTGCTGCTACCAGGGGGGATATGTGGGAAATAACGAGGAAGGGGCAAAGAGTTCCCGTCTGATACACTGTGTGATCAGGGAAGTAGGAGGCACAGAGGGTGGAGCACCTGGTCAAAGGCGAGAGAAAGTTAGAGACTGAGAAAGGGAAGATGACAATGACGCTGAGGTTGCTGGGAACCGAGTGTCCAGTCGGCCTCCATGTGCACTTCAAGCTTTTTTCTAGCAAGCTTCAGCGCCCAATGAAAGAGCAGAGAAGACTGACATTGATATAATTCGGGACTGGTTTTTAGTCAGATAGGTATAGCCAAAATATAGAGGAACAAGGGAGTTGAGAGTGTTTGCTAGAGAAATACTGTTATGATGAAGCTATGCTGGACAGAGAGGGGAATGAAAGGAGGATGGCTGGAGAGAGAATGGCAGGACCCGTGGCTTGGAGGTCTTCATGAAATCAGAGGCAAAGGGGTGCCTAAGCAAGCAAGCTGGAATCAGGGGGAGCTGGGACTGGAGAGTGGGATGAAAGCATTAGTGATTGAGAAGATGGAGTCTTTCCTGATAATAAGGCTCAGCATGGAGCTCTGGGCTGAAGGGCGGAGGTGAGGGAGGGGAGAAGCTGAGAAGCAGGAGGTTACTGGTTAGGTGGATGCTAACACGTCCATCCATGGCAACAGGCGGTGGGACAGTAAGCCCAGGGCTAAGTCTTTGAAAGATGGGGTCAAATGAGGTTTGTGGGTGATAGCACCAATGTATTTGTAGGGCACAGCCGCCAAAGGTCTGGGAGCTCTTGAGAGAAGGAGAAATGGTCTGCGAAGCAAGGACACCAACCTCACTTCCCAACAGTGGGATACGTGGGCAAGAGGGGAAATAAACAGCCCCGCCGGCAAAGGCTGGGGAAAACCAGTGCTCTAGAACACAGCCAGGGTTCATTGTGGTGGTGGTTCTCATCCCTGGCTACACACTAGTCATCTAGGGAGGTTTAAAAAATATCCCAAGTCCCACCGCAGACTAATAAATCAGAATCTCGGAGCCATTTGTCCCATTTACAGTTCCCCAGTAATTCTGATGCACAAATGGACTTTAAAACTCCTGATTTAAGGCAAGGAGGTGAAGGGAACTTGGAGAAGGGACTGTAGATAGAGATTTCCTGATCAGGATTGATCATGGCCTGAATGTACAAACTGCAGTCCCTGAGTGTCCCCCAGGAACTCACACTCACAAGGAGTTGAGCGGTAAGCACAGGCAGACCCTTCTCCCAAGTCCACAGCCCCTTTTTGTCTTAAAGCAGAGATTCTGATCAAATAGCTAAAGATGGTCTTTAAAAGGATCCTGTGTGACTTTACCTGTTTATGTAATCTCCCTCCATACTTTTTCCAGGTGATGTGAAGGAAAGCAGGGATTGTCGTATAAGCATTCATTGAAGAGGAGTTGTTATGGGGAGCTCCTAGCACTAAATCAAAGCCAGCTATGTCTTTCCTCTGTGCCTCTGACTCCTGTAAAATGTAGTGCTAAGACTGATGTGAAGGATGACAAGCATGACCATGATGCTACTTAACTTTTACAGGGCAGTGTGTGCCAGGCCCTAGACTTGTGGTGTACACTCACCATCTCCACACAAATCCACTCCATCCTAGGGAGTAGTACATGAAGCCCCATTTACAGCTGAGTCCACTGGGGCTTCAGAGAGACAAGTGACTTACCCAAGATCAACAGCTAGTAGGCTACATAACCACAGCTGGCCTCCAGAGACCAAGGCCTTCCTCCACTTCATGCCACTGAACTACAAAGCAGTCTAAGTTTCCTTCTAGTCTTAACACACTGTGACTCTTTAACTCCCCTTGGCTTTCTTTCCCTGAAGGGACAGGGTAGATTGCAAATGTCAGACTTTGGAGGAGTAGCAGTCTTATTGAAAAGTTAAGGCAGGCTTCTACTAGGAGTGAATCGGAGGAGGTTTCCTTTGGTCACCTTCCCACAGGCGTTCCACAGAGGGCTGGAGGGGTTCAGAGCCACACAATAGCTGGCTTCCCCCGCCCCCCCTCCGGAAACCATCTCTCCCCTGGCAGGTGGACACGTAATCTCACCTGGTCAGGAAGACAGGCGCCTAATTGGATGGTGAGACTTCAGGATCTAGTAACTGCTGGGAAGATTCTGGGTGGTATTGCTTAGCCATGCAAAAGTTAACTCAAATTCTTTTCTTCTTGTATTCTATAATTTTAAATTAGGTAAATATAATCTCTCGCTTCTTGGCTCAGCCTTCCTGCAAATTAAACATGCAACTATTAATAATGAAAATAATTTCCCTTTAAAAACATATCCTGAAACTCGATGTGGGGCATTTGCAATATATCCATAAAGCAAACAAGACAGCTTAATTGTTTGTTTCTCCAAGGGAAGAAGCTAAACTCGGAATTAATTTGGCTCAGCCTGTGAAACAATTCGTTCGCTCTGCCTAATTCTGCCAATTAAAGAACTTTTCCCAGACACAATTAGCATGTAAATCAGCGGCAGAGAGAGGAAAAAGGGGCCTCGGCAACCCGGGCGAGGTGGAGGTGCCGTTCAGAGAACCCTGAGGACCTCTTGGGTCCTGCGGCTCTGGGGTCCGCGCCGGAGGCGCACAGAGGAGCTCAGGAACCGGGCTCGCACTGGCCCTGCCATCACCAACCGAAATCTGGGCGTTAAATAGAGCATCCGAGGATGGAGCGGTCCGGGCCTGCCAAGGCCCTTCCCCTGGTCCCGACCGAATTCGAGAGGGACCTCCCGGAGCCAACCCGCACCGCTGCCGCGCGACCACGCACTCAAGCCGGCTGCCCTCCACGCCTCACCCCCTCTCCGGGAGCCAGCTTCCAGAGCCGCGGGGCCTGCGCGCGCACCTAGGACCGCGCCCCCAACCACCCTTGAGGCGTTGCTTTTCAGCCCGGGAAAGGTGGGGATAGCGGCCCCTGCTGGCAGCGCTGACAAACAGCAGAGACTAAATTTCTCCCTTAACCATTTCCCCCACCTTTTCCAGGTGGGTTTGGAGGGGGGGGTTGGGG